AAAAAAAAAAAAAAAAAAAAAAAAGAAAATAGAAAGAAAAAAGGAAAAATGTTAGTGTATAAGGACAAAATTCATAGTATTCAGTTCTGTTCCTTTTTCTGCCTAAACCGCATTTCACACACTCGTTTAGTTAAAATAGTTCGAAAAGAACTCGTGAACATTAAATGTGCAGATAAACGAACACGACAAAAATCATGATAAGTTGGTTTACTGATCAATTTTTAACCATAAAATATCCAAATCTACGAACACTACTTATGTTATGTCCAAATGCGAAATATTATGTTCATGAGATTTTAAATGTAAATGATTGACATTTTGGGGTAACTTTTTATTCCCCCAGAAGTAAATTCAGACACCAAAGCAGTTTCTAGTTTGTGATCCATAAAGTTTTTTAACTTTCAGGTTATAATAGTATCATTTAATGAAAGGAAAAAGGCAAATGATAGACACTGCAGAAAAAAAAATGAAAGGCTTTTCTCATATATATACACACTAGATCTGGCATCTGAATTCAGTAATACTTATATAGTTGAGCATTAGAGATCAATAAAATCAGCATAAAATTCGATAATTTCACTCTCACATTAGAAAAATCAGTGCTAGTTGAGTGTATCACTGTTTCTCAACTACTGTCTCGTTTTCTCTTTATTCAAGCAAAACCAGAGTTTTTTCAGCATGGCATTTACAATTTGAAAGTCCTTGACCAGTGATTTTTCAAGTAAAATAAAACCAGACATCAAAACCATCCCAACTTGCTGAATAACTCATTAAAACAAGCAAGAATAAACAATAATAATAATAATAATAATAATAATAATAATACATGTATATATATATATATATATATATATATATATATATATATAATTAAAACTCTAAAGAAAGCATGAGACACCGGAAAAAGAGAGAAAATGAAAGCAAGGAAAACAAAATGGCCATAAATTAACAAGCTTTAAGGCCACAGAAAGTGCATTTTAAACTTTTCGAGGCCGATAAAGAAACCATTAAAAACCATTTATTCATTTTTTCTTTCGGTATCACACGATCAATCGACGTAAAAAAACATGTATATGACAAAATAAAAAGAAACAGGGTACCAAATAATAACCCAAAAAACAGAACACCAACATGCTCATCATGCCCATGAAAGTTCAGTTCAGTGCATGCAACTTTGATGGCTGCGAAAAGAAACTCGTAAATTGATGGATAAAAAGCTCGAAAGAAAAACAAAAAGTTGACGGCAAGTGATGTCACGTACGCCATGGAGGATTAGAGTCGATGCAGTACTCGAGGTCGTGCAGCTGCTCCATTGGAGGGTGGGTTATGTCACCCATTAGTGTGTGTGTTGTGTGTGTTTTTCAGAGAGAGAGAGAGATTTGAGAGAGATTGATTCAAGTGAGGCTGAAGACAGGTAATAATGTGAGCAAAAAACATGTAATAAGAAGAGAAGTTCAAGAAAAGCACAACTCTTAAGAGGGCTTATAAATGAGAATGTGAGTGAATAAAAACGCAATAAATGCATGCGAGACGGTAGAGAACAAGCACCCAAACACACACACTAATGTTAACTCATCAAACATTTTTATATCGTAAATCAGCTAACTTTTCAGCCATAATCTATCCACTAGTTGTAAGCTCGAAATTCACTTACAAATTATTGACTAACTTATCAATTAAATTTACCAGACATAGCCGAAAAAGAAATAGTTTTTATTGCTCTAATGTAAGTTTTACGGCAAACTGGATTTTTTTACGAATTATGCATAAGATGAAATGCGAGATAACTAGAGGAAAAGGTGAAAATGAGATATGAAGCGAGAAATCACATATTCTTGTATGAGACAGACAGTATAATATTTAGGCGAATAGATCTTTGTGAATAAATATGCATACTTGTATCATCAACTATCGTAACTTTAATTATATTGTTTTCTTAAGTATGACAAATTTCATGAAAAATATGTATTGTAATGGAAAACATGTATCATCTTAATGAGTGAGCCTAGTGTAGTTTACCTTATATTTAATATTTTATTGCTTTTTATGTGACATGACTACTTTTTTACTAAAGAAAATTACTTTAATTTACGTTTAAAGTGTGTTGCCTTTCTAACTAAGGTAAAATTAAAATAAATATGACTAGTAAATTAAATAAATGACAAAATTACTTTAGAAACTCTCACGGTAGAAACAATGCCTACTACAAATAAAATTCAATCACAAGCCAAAATTTATAAAAATCTTTCACTAAATAATTTACCAAAAGTTCTACTAACTCAGTGTGATTGGATAGAATATTCGTGATTGAGTTTGTCCAAAGTTACATCACATATTTTGCAATTTTTTTTAAAAGTAGCACCATCTCGCTGTGAAAACATTCTAGTCTGATTTTTGTGGTTTTGAATTTGGTCCAACTCTATTCTCCATTTTTAATGACTTTTTTTTCGCGACTTTCGCCATTGGATTCATGTAATCCGGGTTAAAGCTAAATGCCATTTTTAGTGAACGTTTTAATTTGGTTTTTTGTCTTGTGATGCAAAAAAAAATTGTGGCGAAGCAAATGACCGTAAATGCTCTCCAACGGGTATTATGGCCAATGGGATAGGCAATTATATCACCTCTGCTTTAAATTGAATGCACATTGTAACACATGGATACAAAAAAGCAAAATTGCATATTAATATACCACTTTTTATGTTTTTGCAATTTAATCATCACCTTTGTAATTTAGCAATTTAATACACCACTTTCACTATTTTTTGCAATTCAAATCACAGGGCCCAATTCAGGCTTTTTCTGCTGACATGGCATTGACATGATATTTTGTCAATGACATGACATTTTTATGCTGACATGGCATTTCATGTGTCAATTAAAAAATTCAGGCTTTTTCTGCTGACATGGCATTGACATGATATTTTGTCAATGACATGACATTTTTATGCTGACATGGCATTCCATGTGTCAATTAAAAATAAAAAAATTATGCTGCCCAAGAGATTCGAACCACAGGATAAATGGTAGTAATGCTACCACCAAACCAATCCAAGTTACTTTATAAATCTTTAGCGTTTATATATATAGCGTTACGTACAATTAAATCAAATTAAATTTTAAGAAATAATATCAATTAAATTAATATAATTAAATTTATAATAAATTAAAGGAAACTAAAATTATTATAATAAATTAAGATGAAATATGTTATAGTGGAATGAATTTAAATAAAACTAAATTAAAATATATTTATATATTTATTATTTATCAAATTAACTATATAAATTTGAAAATAAATAATAATAACAATAAAAATTTTTTAAGACAATGAAATAAAATTTATAAATAAAATTTAGAAACTAAAATTATTTATTTCTAATTAATATCAATTGTTAAAAAAATGATAATTTACATATAATTTTCTTAATTCATATTTATGTTAGAGTAAATCATATTACTCATATTGTATAAATAATATTTTTTATTTTATTATATTCATTTAAGATTATTATTTAATTTAATTTATTATTTCATAATAAGTTATTATATTATTTTATTTTACTTTAATTTATCTTTTTTTTTTATATTTTATTATCTTATATTATATTACTTTTTCATATTTTAACTGTTGTACTTTAATTTAGTTTATTTTTAATTTAATTTTATCATTATTATTTTTTACTTCCAAATTTATATAATTAATTTAATAAATAATAAATATATTTAAATTTATATTTATTTAAATTCATTCTACTATAACATGTTTTATCTTAATTTATTTTAATTATTTTATTTTCATTTAACTTTATATCATTGAATTTATTATAATTTTATATTTTATTAATTTAATACATTATCTTTTAAATTTAATTTGATTTATTCATATTTAACTCTATATATATAAAACGCTATTAAATTAATCATGTAACTAGGATTGGTGTGGTGGTGGCACTACTGCCTTATAAGCTTCAAGTCTCAAGTTCGAATCTCATGGGCAACAAAATTTTTTATTTCTAATTGACACTTGGAATGCCATGTCAGCACAAAAAATGTCATGTCATGTCATTGACACTTGGAATGCCATGTCAGCACAAAAAATGCCATGTCATTGACACTTGAAACGCCATGTCAACAAAAAAAATGCCATGTCAGTAGAAAAAGCCCGAATTGGGCCCTGTGATTCGAATTGCAAAAAATAGTGAAAGTGGTGTATTAAATTGATAAATTACAAAGGTGATGATTAAATTGCAAAAACATGAAAGGTGGTGTATTAATATGCAATTTTGCTTACAAAAAATCAGTCTACTTAATTATATACAAGAAACCGTGTAATTGACAACTTATTTTTTCCATCTTCAAATGATTTAACCGGCCTTCTTTGGATCCGAATCGTCTTTGACCTCCTCACTGAAGTACCTGAAAAATCGTCGGAATGATTCCCTACGTAAATCTTCCAATGATCAAGTCAGTCTCTCGAATATTCAAATATGACATGTATATTAGAAAAATATTGATTACTAGAACGTAAAAAGGTGGAAAAGGAAAAAGCTCACATATATACAACTATACCTCACCACTTATATATTCGGTTGATTACCTTATTACCAATTACCAAATACTTCCACACCTTGGTACCCAAAAATTCTATCTTCTCCAAGTTGACTCGGAGACTTCGACGGAAACAGATTTGTTGTGCACCGGCTCGATCAACTAGGTCTTAGATTATGCAGGTCACAGGTCGATAACGTGACCAAACGCTCTTTGGGTAACAATACTTGATCTATTCGACCTAAGTCGAGCTGAGAGAGCTCCGGTCCAGAACCACGCGAGTTTCGATTCATGATGTCTATGCTATATCACTTATAATTATTAAAAAAACACACACAACGAAAAAAGGTAAATATATATTTCGCAACATGTATTGTGCGTGTTTTAAACACTGTGCAATTTATAATATTTTTCTTGATAAAATACAATATTAACTTCACGGACATTATTCATAATTTATAACTTATACATCTTGACCATAAACATATTTTTTTTTTTTTTTTNATCGAAGATGTATGTAAATGTTTATGAAATTTAAATTGAAAAAATAATATTATAATTTGGTAAGTAAAAAAACAAAAAACCACGTACATTTCATTAGTATGCCGTGTTTGCTTGCTCTTTTTATGTTCTCCACTTCCTTTTTCTTTTTCCTCCTTTATTTTCTTGTTTTTTTCAGCTGCCTTGTTGGAAATTTGGCCCAAATCTCAGGCCCAAGGAAGCCCCAACCCAAATCCTGTCTGGGCCTGGCCCTCACTTATTCGAATTAATCCATACCGTTGGATTAAGGGGTTTAATCCCAGCCACTCACTCACACTATATAAACCTATCTCTATCTCTCCGCCTACAACACAGACGATACACACTCTGCTCTCTTCTCTCTCACACAGGCCCTCTCCCATTTCTCTCTCTGTGAAAGAAACGTGATTTCTACCTCTGTACCTTCTTCGTGACCTTTGCCGAGAGAACCATCGTCTTGTCGCTGTGAGTGTTGCCGTCTTCAAGCCCTTGTGCCGTCATTGTCGCTCTGCTCAACCCGCCGGCCAAAGTCCTTGTGTAGGGCCTCCGGCGAATCTCTTAGAGAGAGGAGGGGCATTGCGACAGAGGATCGGGTGCGGGGCTCGTGAGTGAGGTGCAGCCCGGGGAAGGGCTGAGGAACCGGGGCCGCCGTTCGTTGACCACCGCCGAGCCGCTACTTACCGAGGGTGCCGGGCTCTAGGGCTATCTGAGCCGGGAGAGCTGACTTCGTGTCCCTCTCCTTCAGTCGTCGTCGAAAGGGAGTTTTACCATTCGTTCTCTTTAATTCCTTTACAGCATATTACTTAGTGTAATTTTCCCTTTGATTATTGTTGTTATTAGGAATTAATTGGTGTGTTTGATTTCAGTTGAACCAGGCTGAAAAATGGTCCTGAAAGAAGCTGATTGAATCAGCCCGGGAGCTCGGACAGCGGTTCGGGAGTCAACTGTAGACGAGCAGCAGCTCCTGAAAGCCGAGAGGGCTTGCTAGCGGGTCGGTCGAGCTCAAGAGAAGCTTCCGCTGCCAATGAGTCGAGCGGTTGAGTCTGGACGGCCACACAGCATGCCTCTTCATAGCTGTTAGTATTTTTCATTGGTAGTCGATAGGAGGAAAACAATCTTTTGCTTGACCGGAACTCTTGCTTAAATACATCCAAGGAAAGTCATGCATTGATGCACATTCTATTCTTCTCACTCTGCATCGATCTTACTTTATTAGTTACACAATGTTAGCCTTTTACTTCTTGCAGTGGCTCCCTCTAGGGAAAGAAGAGAATGAATTGGGTCCATTTTCATCTTGGAATATAACAGGGACATATCGAGAGTTTTATTTTGCCTCTCTGGAATTTTCTGCTAATCATTTAGTATGGTGAATCATTTTTAAGTTAATGAAGTCAATATCTAGAAACAACTGATTGTCTTATACTTAAAAGAGTTAGGTTTGAATCTGTTGAATCTTTAAGGGCCTAAAGATAATTACATCATGAAGACATTTTATTCTTATCGTAGTCTAAATACGTTTAGTAACAAGGCAATATCTTCCAAAAACTGGCTTTACCAGATAAGGAAAAAAAATAAAAATTGTGGGTATTTAATCAGTATGGTTCTTCAATTTGGTTGGCCTAATGAGCATGATTGATTCTAGCATATGTTCTCAAATATTCCATTGATTTTGTTAATTTTTGCCTTCAGGAAATTGGAAGTTCCTAGAATCCAAAAATGCTTCATCCAAGTTTCCAGATTTTAAGAATTCAAATGGGAACTCTGTACTAGAGTTGATTAGTACTCCAAGAAAAATAACTGGTGTACACTATGTTCAGGTACTCCTATATTTTTAACTTAAATAAGGAGGTGTGCCATGAAATGAGTTATTTCTGTTGTTATTGAAAGTCCTACTGATAATGGAGCCATTTTTTAAAATAATCAATAAAATTTCTCAAAGTATAAGATTAGTTTGTTTTTCTCCTGTTTTTCTCTTTGAGCCAGTCTCTTATGGCAATTGTCACCATCATGATGCAATTCACCAGGGGGTTATGGTTTTTCATGATGTGTGCGACAATGATAAAGATGTCCGTGGTGCTCAAATCAGGGTAGGTGTGTACATATGGCCTTTTAGACAGTTGGTCGCCAACAGGTAAAATTCATTGTATTGTTTGAGATTTGTTGTTTTACTACTTCCAGTTATGTACATGCGATTCAAAAGTACTATCCCATCTGTGGATACAAAGTTCGTCATTTCATATGTCCAGTCTCAATTAATGGGTTATATCCTATGGGATACGAATTTTTGTCATTTCATTTGTGGATATTTTAAAGTAACTTTGTCTCTCTTCTTCTTGATGCCATATAATTGGAACATGAAGCTATCATATGTTTATTAGTAAAGTTAAACATTTATTCTTGAATCAGAATCGTTGTGGAGGTCATAAATTTACCCTACTAGTGGAAGAGAGAGAATCTGTCGGTCATGAATCGATCTTGGATTGAGAAGTTCTTTTGTCTGATGTCATCTTTTCCCGCATACTGATTTGACCATAGATCAACCAATATCTCATTCCTACTTTTGTATCTTTGCAGTACAGAATTTATAAGTAAGAGTCGTACACGTGTCTTTAAGCCAATTTATAAACAATAATTGTTATCAATTAAGCATGATTTGATAACCAAAATGGAAAATGAGTATTGCTAATTGTAATTATTATATATATATATATATAAGAACTGGTTCAAATAAAAACTATTCTTGGTGTGAGAACCGTGAGAACCGTTTTTTATGCTATTTTTAATTGTGTATGATGCTATTTTTCATATTAGATGATGCTATCATTTTTACAAATGCTAACAGAAATTGTGTTGCTATTTTTAATAAAATTCATCCTGGTTAAAAATAGCATCAAACACAATTAATCATAGCACTACGCCCAAATAAAAATAGCGGTTCTCACGGTTCTCACATTAAGACTTGGTTCTCATTTAAACCATAAAAATAGCGGTTCTCACGCTAGTATATATATATATTGGTTCTCACGGTTCTCACGCTAGTATGTATATACTAGCGTGAGAACCGTGAGAACTATTATTTTTAATTGTATGAAATGCTATAATTAATTGTGTTTTAGTGCTATTTTTAACCAAGATGCATTTATTAAAAATAACAACACAATTTATACTAACACTTGTGAAAATGATAGCATTATATAATATTAAAAATAGCAGTTAAAAATAGCATCAAATATGGTTCTCACACCAAGACTAGTTTTTATTTGAACCAACCCCTATATATATATATAAGTGAATAAATAGTACATTTTATAAACAAATGTGTAGTTATAATTAAATTTTAATTCAAAATTTATATTAAAAAACTAAAGGGAAAAAAATAAAATAAATGGATAATATTTTGTCATTTGTTGGTTGAAATGAGAAGTATGTTTAATCCCACACAACTAGTAACTCTAATCCTAAATAATTTTGAAAGGAAGACTTTCATTTTTTTCTTCTTCTTAATAATATAATTATAGGGATCGAGTGGTTGACTTGTTTTATGAAGCAGTACTTGAAGTTCTGTTCCACTAACATGGAATTGAATCAAAAGAATGGCTGCCTGGATATGAATAAGACTATTTTTTTTTTCCCTTCCTTTAATTAATTTTATATTTTCCCAAATAGTTGCATGTAATATTTAATTATTTTGATTTGGATTCCCCGTAATATTAAAAATCATAGTTGCATTTATTCCAGTGAGATTAAATTTGTTAATGTAAAAATGTTACAAGGAAATTAACCAACACTTCTTACATTTCTGGCATAATAATGGTAATAATAAATGTTTCTTCTATGTATAACCGTAAAATTCAATATTTCAAATTTTTGGATTAAAACATAAATTCATATTTTGGTGGTTAAAGTTAAATTTAAGCATCCTAAAACATTGTTATCTATTAAAGAGTAGCAACATAGCAACATAGCATTTAATTTTATTACCATCCATTAAATTTTATTTTCATGCATTAAATTTTATTCTCCCTCCAAAATTTTCAGCATTCAATTTCATTTTTAAGTTACAAAATAACTTGCTTGAATGCCATAAATTATGAGCATAAATCAATCGAGGAAATTACGAAATTGTACTCAAATTTTAAGTCACACCCACTCATGAAAATGGTCGGGTGTATTAGCATAAAGAAAATGGTTGTAACGGCTCTTCCATAATAACTAGTACAGAGCCCGTGCGATGCACGGGGTGCACAATTTTAAGACTATTTATCCAAGCTTATAATTATATACATGAATAAAGAAAAATGTACGAGATATATATAGTACGTGACCCGTGCGAAGCACGAGATATATTTATATATTTATTTGGAGAATACTATATTATAAGATGCAATATTCAATAAAAGTTTATAATACACAAAAAAATTGTACAATGTTCAAATACTCGTGCGAAGCACGAGATATATTTATTTGTTTTATGATTCGATAATATAAACAAATCTATACTTAACTTTGACAAATAAAACAAATAAATACTTTAGTAAGTATTTAATGTATATACTAAATAGGAATATATTTGGTATAATCAAATACCAAATATAATCAAATAAGTCAAAATGTACATTTTTATTTGGTATTTGATTTTTTTATTATTAAAATCTTTTTATTATACTTACCTTTTTAAAATAAAACAAATAAATAAATCAATTAAATAAATAAAATATTATAATACCAAAATAGTAATGACATTTAATGCAGTTGACTTTTCTGGATAGTAAATGTAGTAAATAGAATCTCCTTTTATATAAGTATAGATTGTATAATACGGAAATAGTAATGCAATAAATAATGTTGACTTTTCTTTATACTAAATCTGGTAAATGGTATACATTTTAATATAAGTATAGATTACTTGATCAAAATCAATTTTGAGAATTATTTTCTTAATTCATATTTTTTTTATGAATTAAATTATAATTTATTTTGTTTTTTTTATACTTTTATCTTTTAAAGTATTCGTCTCTATGCAAAGCCTTGGCTCGACATAGCATTCCAACAGTTTCGGCCTTTGTGGACCAAATATATTGACCAGTGTTCTAAAAGTCGCTAGGCGCCTGCTAGGCGTTCGACCAGCGCCTAGAGCGCCTAGGCGGGGCCTAGGCGGCTCCTAGTCGGGGCCCAAAAATCAATATTAAATAAATTATTTTTTATTTGTTTTAATTACCTGCAAAATAAAATTATCTCAACTTATATAAATTCATACACCAAAGTCCACCATTGAGAATATTCTCTAAGATGCTCTTTTGTGGCAGCAATTTATGAATCTATCAGAGTAGTCAATATCACTGTTCTAAAAATCTGTTCTAAAAATCGGCCTAGGCGGTGCCCGGGCAACTTCTATGCAAAAATTTCATCAAAAACTATATTTACTACATTGAAATAAATTTTTATCAATTTCTATGCATGATTTATCAATAAAAAAATACTACTTACATATGAATAATTAATTTGTATTCATAATTGTACTAGTATGTGACCCGCGCGATGCGCGGCTTGATATTAAAAATAGTATAAATGAGTGATAATTTAATAGAAAAATATTTTGAAAAGCATCAATTGATATAATGTAAGATAAATTTTTTATTCATCCATTTAAAAGTACTTCCACAAATATAGCATCAATAGTAGATGCACTGTGTTCGTTATCACTAACTGTAATAACAATAATTAGTAAACATGGATCGTGACTCTAGAAACAATAACAATGAAAAAAAAAATTATAAAATTCAATATACTTTTTTTCTTAAATGTTTTAAAATTAAATTCTTAAGTGTACAAAAATATGTGATATACCATGAAAAAAATTATTTGTCACATTAATGACACTCCTTCAAAAATTTTTCATAAAACTGTATATGTGATAACATAATTTTCATAGTTCAAAAAAGAAAACAAAGTCATAATTACTATTCTGCAAATAAGCTTATATTAAATAATTAACGTTAATATGTATGAAAATGAGCAAATTAAAATTTATAAATACAAATTAAATACTTAAGAACAAATTAACTTCTATCTGCATGTATTTATTTTTAAATTAAGTCTACAAATTTTTCACTTTTTTTTATTAACAAAATAAATCTCAACATTTTTTTTTTTATTTTTTTTTTGGCAAAATAAGTGCGATGGTGGTTAGAGAATGATGTGAAAGATTGATCATTTTTCATAAAGTTATAAATAGACTCAGTAATCATTAATGCTCAAGTCAATAAAATATTTATTCTTTGCATAAAATCCATGGGAATTGAAATTCAATGTAATATTAAAATATACTTATTTTTGCATGAAACCAATGAGAATTATAATTCGATATAATTTTTATAAAAACACTTTGAAAAATTTTTTGTATTATAATACATTAACTACTTTTTCCTTATCATATATCATAAAAATTTTTGCATTAGATAAAGTTAAACACACTTATTATAATGCATTAACTACTTTTTCCTTATCATATATCATAAAATTATATATGATAAGGAAAAAGTAGTTAATGCATTATAATAAGTGTGTTTAACTTTATCTAATGCAACATTCAATTGTGATAATATACCCTCATCATTCTCTTATGAAAAAAAAAATTAATATGAAAAAAAAATTAAACGATAATTGACACATGCTAATTTTATCTATAAAATTTTTAGCTGTATAATTGGGTATTTATTTAAAATACTTTTTTTTTTGTTTGCATGAAAGTCATGATAATTGTAATTCAATAAAGTACTTATTAGTTATTGTTGCATGGAATCGGTGAGAATTGTAATTTAATGTAGTTTTTAGAAATGCACATTGACAAACTTTTTGTTAAGTAATACGAAAAATATATTTAAATTATATTATATAAAATCTAAAAGAAATAAAACACATTGTTGTGAAATTAACATTATGATATATGATAAGGGAAAAGTAGTTGATGCATTATAATAAGTTGTGTTTAACTTTATCTACTACAACATTCAGTTGCAATAAAATCTCATCATTCTCTTATAAGAAAAAAAGTATGTTTATGAACAAAAGTCAAACGATAATTGACACATTATGCTATTTTTATTTATAAAAGGTTTAGCTGCATAATTGTGTATTTATTAAAAAAATTAAAGGCTTTCACTTTTCACCAACTTTTACATCACCTCAAATTTAAGCTCAAATGAAATAAATGAAACAAATAATTATCGGATAAAATTATTCAATCAATATGATAATTTCGTCTTCCGAGTCAAAACTATATTATTACTTTTTTTCAACTCTCTTATTATTGTTAAGACCTCTCACTCTTTATGTTATCATTTTCTAATTATTTTTTTCATTTCCCACTATCATTTCGCAATACTCTTATATTGCTTATCCATAAATGAGACTAAAATAGATGCTCTGAACACTAAATCTATTATTTTTATATTGTATACAAACTATGAAAATAAATGTTCATCTCATTGTACAAAATAAAAGTTTATGTCAATACATATCGAATTATTTTTTATTATATTCTTTAACGTTGTATATTTTATTTTTATAAAATTATATTAAGAAAATAATCAAGATGATCGCCGTCAATATTAGGTCAATAGCTAAAACTTATTTTAATATTAGGCCAATAGCTAAAACTTATTTTGGATAATGTTTAAGATAATTTTAATTAACTTATTATTTAGAAATACAAAATTATTTTCAATTATAAATAATAAAATATTTAATAATAATATATAAGTCTACAACAATGAAAAGTAAAACTAATAATCTTGATGTATGATGAAGAAAAAATAGTTGTTGCATTTATAGTAAGTTTTAGAACTTTATATGTCGCAATGTTTCGATAAAGATGATACATTATAGAAATACAACATTAACAATAATTAAATTAACCCGTACTATGCCTTCAGAAATTATAGTTGTATAATTATAGACCAATTAAAAAAATTAATGAAGGCAAAAACTTTATGCACATATGTTTAAGTGGATTCTTCAAGATTTTCAAAACCAAACAAATTATACCAACTAAAAATAAAAAAAAAAATACCAAACACTAACATGAAACAACCTAGTCTATAGTTGAAAATCACTGAAGAAATGAACGTTATATGCATTTTTCTTTTCAGTCTTCACAATCAAATCCATGAGTAGTTACCTTGAAATAATGTCATGTCTCTTTGTTCGTACGTTTATCATTTGTGATTTCTTTTCTTTTTACAATATTAGCTTTGAAATATTAATATATTATTTATCTATGAAATACAGTCAAATTTCATGTCATTTTTGGATTCTATTATGTCTTCTTTTTTTTCTTTTGTTTTCATAGCTTTCATATTCATGCTTTATTGGTGAAATAAACTTAAATCCGTATAATGTTTTTACTCAATTAAATTATTCAACATTTTCGAGATCTATTTCATATGGATATGAAGGATCATCCCCAAAAATTATAGATGATAAAAATACATGTCTTTTAGACGAATAAATTATGTTATTTATGATATTATAACTTCATTATTTTTTTTTTATCTCTTTCTATTTCTATTATA